GGAGTAGTGGGTAATTCCAGTCTGAAGGGGCATTCCTCTAGCAATGCCCATGGGGGAGGCAAAGCAGCAGCCTTCTTGTCAGAGAACTGGACTTTTACAGTTACACTAACTCCATTTCAGCATACTTTCATATAGCAGGTGTGGGGAAGGATTTTGACACTGAAAAGGAACAGATATTCCAACAAAAAAGATCAAGTGAACCTGTTCAGTAGCTACTACTGAACTTTGGAGTCCAGAGGAGGCCATGAGGGCTGGAGCACCTCTCCTACAAGGACAGGCTGAGAGAGTTGGGGCTGTTCAGCCTGGAGAAGTTCTCCCGGGAGACCTTCTAGTGGCCTCCCAGTACCTGAAGGGGCTCCGGGAAGGCTGGGGAGGGACTTTGGCCAAGGGCAGGGAGTGAGAGAACAAGGGGTGATGGCTTGAAACTGGAAGAGGGGAGATGGAGATGAGATGTGAGGAAGAAATTCTTTGGTGTGAGGGTGGTGAGCCAGTGTCCCAGGTTGGGCAGAGAAACTGTGGATGCCCCCTCCCTGGAAGTGTTGAAGGCCAGGCTGGATGAGGCTTTGAGCAACCTGGTCTAGTGGAAGATGTCCCTGCTCACTGCAGGGGGGTTGGAACTGGATGAGCTTTAAGGTCCCTTCCAACCCAAACCATTCCATGATAATAATCATGAAAAGGGCAGGTGGAAAGGAGTACAACAATAATCCTGTCTACTCTCCTGCAGTGCAGGAATAAATACTTCAGTGACAAGAAGTAGGAGGAGCAAGTATCACCTTGCTACATTCTGGATCCGAGATCCTTTCCTCCACTCTTTTTATTCCTTGTTTTATATCTAACCAAGTTCCCGAAGTCAGAAAGAAATAAACACAAAGAACACAATAGACATCTAGGGACTAGATCTTGAGCAGTTTGCAGTTTGTTCCACTGTGCTCTGAGCTGCCCTGGGATGACGTACATCAAGTGAAGCAGAGCGACATGAATAGCATCACTGAAGCGCAGCCACAAACCAGTGTGTGGGAGGTTCCGGCCAAGACCTTCCTGAAACAGTTTTTCATAGTGCTCTAAGCAGGTACTTCAGAGAATCCCTGAAATAGAAGGGGTCTAGGAGGTACTTTTGTTCTAAAAGATAAGTTTTGTTCACTGAGGACTGAACAGGAGCATCTGCTCAAAGCCCAGCTTCCCCTACCACTCTGCTGGGTCCATACAAGTGATGATCTCAGCCACACCAGCTTCAAGGGCTTCACAGAATAACCCCCAACGCTTTTATTCTCTCCCTGGTCTGACTTGAGGTTGAAACAAAGAGCTACACTCAGTTTTCTACAGTAGAGTGACAGCTGGAGGAGAAATACCAAGGGAAGTATGAAATTTCACAGTCCAAAAAGTCACATTTCCCCATCACAGGGGAATGCCCATTCCCACACCTCCTCCTCTGCATTAGTCAGAGCTGTTTGTTGAGAATCAGCAGCTTGCTTAGCTGATGTGTAAAGACACAGCTTTAAACAGCATTTCAGTTTCTCCTTCAGCTCCAGCCTGCCCAGAGAACAAGCTACATTCACACCACATTTGGCAAGGAACCCAGCCAACAGCTGCTCCCAGTCACCACAGCCACTTGAACAAAGCTCTTATCAGCTATGCTGGGGGGGCAGGAACCTCCCCCTCCCCCCAAACTTCCCCCCCAAGCCCCATCCATAACATCCTCAACCACCTATTCTCTGTAACCACCTACCAGGAGGGTTGGGTTAGGAGAATCAAGCACAGCCATGCAGTGGTGATATAGAGTTATGCAGCAAAGGACAGAGTTACCCACAACTGGCACCAGAAACCTGCAAACCAGGACAGAAGCCAGCAGGGAACTCACAGTTATAACTTGCTCCCAGTTTAGCTGTCAAACAGCTGATGGTCTGACAGGGCACTGCCCTGGCCGAGGAACCTATAGAATCATAGAATGGTTTGGGTTGGAAGGGACCTTAAAGCTCATCCAGTCCCAACCCCCCTGCCATCAGCAGGGACACCTTCCACTAGATCAGGTTGCTCAAAGCCTCATCCAGCCTGGCCTCGAACACTTCCAGGGAGGAGCAGCCACAACTTCCTTGGGCAACCTAAGGAAGCCTGTCCTATAGCCAGGACAGGCTGTTGCAATGCACTTAATTAGTTCAAAAGTTATTCCCTTTACACTACACCAAACCTATCAAAACTCTAGAAGCATGCACTGTGAAACTGCGTTCCTGACAGAGATCCACTTCAAAATCTTAAACCACTTCACTTTAAACTCAAACTGTAGCACAGGAACTGTCAGATACTCATATGAGGCTCTGAGCAACCTGGTCTAGTGGAAAGTGTCCCTGCTGATGGCAGGGGGGTTGGAACTGGATGAGCTTTAAGGTCCCTTCCAATCCAAACCATTCTATGATTCTATTATTTGTTCCTGGGGAGTGAGGACAAGTCTTCCAAGGAGAGTTTTACATACAGATGCAGAAGGGTTGAAAGGATAGAACAAGATGACACATCAAGGGAGGCCAGTCAGAAAAGCAATTACTCAGGCTGGTAACCCCTCAGGGCACAAGTGATGGTAAGATGGTAGTAATCACTGCTACTACATGCCCAAATAGTAGGTTGCAGCAGGATCAAGCTTTTCAGGAATTTATTTTTACTGTTCTCACTGCCCCAAAAATAAAGCCTGGATACCAAACAGAGCTTCACAATCCTTGAGAAAGAAGCATGACTGAGGCTGGCAGATACAGAAGCAGCAAACTGTACAGCAAAGCTGCTGAGCTGGGGTAGAGGAAAGAAGAATCCAGTTATACCTGCTAATTTTATAGCCCAGTTTGGGAGAAAGAATTTCCAGGTGTCTCCTTTTCCCCCAAATCAAGACCAAGGAAAACATACAACAATAAGAAACACTTACTGTTTCTTTCTGGAAGTAGATAACCAGTCCAGCAGCAACCTGAGTTATGAGGATTACCATCAGGCAGGTGAAGTACTGGAAACAAAAGATAACAGATGATTACTACCAGCCTTTAGAAAGGTCTGTAACACACTGGCACAAGTTTTAGTAAGAATTCCTATACAGAAGTCACAACATTGAGCCAACACTTTTGTCTGCAGCAAGTTCTGCTATCAACAATGCTCTCCCCAGTAAAAAGCTTAACTACAAGCACCTACATCAGACCAGTGCACTTCAGCACTTCTCCCATCAGGCCAACAGGAAGACTTCAAGAGGTAGAGGGTTTACAAACATCCTCTGCAAGTGTCATTCCAGCTGGAACCCTCTCTCCCACCCCCAGCTCTACTCCCAGTCCACTCTGACCTCAATCAGTTGGATTCTGCCTACTCCAAGCCTCCATGGCAAGAAAAGTCAATTTTACAACACTAATTATTTTTTTAAAAATTTTTAAAGTCAATTACCTTTTTTTTTTAAAAAAGTGCTATTTAATTTGTTTGAGGATCTAAATTTAAGATTCACCAACAAACTGCTTTTAAGGAGTTTGACATCTGAGGTTACTTTGAACCAGTGGCAGCCACTACCACTGCATTAGGAGATGTTCCTAATGCCAGGACACACAGTGTGGCCATACTTGATTTTCTATACATATGTGCTCTGAATAAGCAGGAGTCAAGTAGCAGGCTGAGGTGCATGAAGCTACTGTCATCTCATCCATCACAGACAGAGTTCCCTACAGATTAACTGTTTGAAGAAAGGTCCTGACATACAGGACACTCCTAGTTGAATCTCTCTCAACTACTGGTCTTTCCACAGAAGCTGAACTTTGCATCACAGCAGGACACTGTCACTCTTCTCTCTCACTGCCCTTAATACTTGTCCTTGCACCATTGAAAGCACAGTGCCAACTGGGGATGAGGTAGAGGGTCACCTGGGACATCCCACCACAGTTGTTAGTCCTCAACCTACTGTTTGCAGAGTGTCAGTGATGTTCTCTCTCATTTTACAGACTTACTAGCTCATCAATGGTGATGTCTGAGGAACTGCTGCTGCAGCTTGTTGACTGCTAGAGAATGTGTACAAATTAAGAACTGTATCTAAGTTGACCTAGCAGATGTACCATTCCCCAGGAGACCTGAGCCCCAGCTACAATCCAACAGGTATTTTGCAGGAGAAGTATTAAAAGGTGGATCTAAAACAAAGCAAGAATTCTCTCACCAGACCCAAGAGACATCGGATTTCATTGACTGCTCCAAGACAGCCCAGGAATCCCATCACCATGGTGAGAGCCCCAACACCAATGAGGATGTATGCACCAGTCTTCAGGGAGGGAGATGACATCTCTGTAGGGGCCAGGAGAAGGAATAAAATTAGCTGTTGAGAAAAACTACATCTGCCACCACCATTTAGAGAACTGCCTCCATATCTGCTTATAATAGTCTGTAGTCTTGTGCAAAGGGACTGCACAGAGACATGTTGAACATGGGGACAGCAGGCCACTTCTGGGTGTCTTCTGATGAAGGAAGACTTTCAAAGCCAACCTGCAGGTCTCCATTATCTCAGAGCCTGGAAGACTCAAGGTCATTCCAAACAAATTAACTTTGTTTGGAGAAAGTTAGCTTTTTACTGGATTTTTAACTCTCTCATGAACACACTCTGAGTGAGAGTAAGATAAAACATGTTCTACTCCACAACTACTGCCTATTTGCTTCAGTTCCCTTCACTTTTTGAACTAAGTGTGAGTAGTATTATTTCAGACATGATGGTGCTGTCAGTCCTCTCTCCTCAACATTTATTCAACTCTCCTCAACAGAAGAAACAAGCTCCCTGATTTGGGTTGGTCACAGGATGATTTCTTGCAGAACAGGATTGGAAGGAGCAAGCATTACGGCATAAAAGTTGATGACAGACTGTCTAAAAATAGTAACCAGAAACCTCATTTATCATTAAAACACATTCTTAAACCTGCAAGCTGCACAGGGAAGGGGAATTCTGGATGTCCAGTGATGAATGAAAATGTTCCTAGAGCTCAGAATCTAGTTTCCTGGACTGAAGTCCCAGGAGGGAAGCTTCTGAGTTCCTCCAGAAATAGGTTGAGAGAGACTAACCGAATACTCTCCCCTCTAACACACAACTCCCCTCACTTCTGATACTCGGTACAAGTCACCAGCTTCCAAACTTTTTTCCTCTAGAATGTGCCAAACAGAGGAAAAAGATCAGTTATAAAAAAAAAAAAAAAACAAACAGAGGTGTTTGCGAGGGGAGGTTTAGATGAGATATTAGGAAGAAGTTTTTCACTGTGAGGGTGGTCAGACACTGGAACAGGTTGCCCAAGGAAGTTGTGGATGCCCCTCCCTGGAAGTGTTGAAGGCCAGGCTGGATGAGGCTTTGAGCAACCTGGTCTAGGGGAAGGTGTCCCTGCTGATGGCAGGGGGGTTGGAACTGGATGAGCTTTAAGGTCCCTTCCATCCCAAACCGTTCTATGATTCTATGAAAAGAAGGCTGTGTTGGCATGAGGACTCCTGCTCTGGTTGGTGTCACTCCGTGTTTTCTCCTGTGCTGGGCAGGAGGCCAGGAGAGTACAACAGGCTCCTTTGGCAGTGACAGAGTGCCCTGCTGTGCTGGGCTCCCTCCCTGATGCCTGGGTTACTGAAGCAGAGGGAAAGAAGGGCAAGGCATGGGAAAGGAAACAAGGGGGCAGGGAGAAAGCTGATGCTGGAAATCTCCAGGAAGGAAGTTAAATCCTTAAATGCTCTGTTAGCAGAGATTGTGGGTAAAATGGGAAGAAGCTGAGCCAAGCTCAGGGACTTCATAAGAATCATCACAGAATGGTTTGGGTTGGAAGGGACCTTTCAAGGTTCATCTAGTCCAACCCCCTGCAGTGAGCAGGGACATCTTCAACCAGATCAGGTTGCTCAGAGCCCTGTCCAACCTGACCTTGAATGTTTCCAGGCATGGGGCATCTACCACCAATTCATACCCCTCCACAAGTGCCAGTAACACCCATCAGTCTGGGGGAAAGCTGCTGGCCCACTGGTACCAAACACACCTCAGGCCATAAGACATGCTGCAAATAGCCAGGCCCTGATAAGCTGCTTTTTTGGCTGCCTGTATTAAAAGTGCATTTTTGCTCATGCCCCCATTTTATTAACCAACACCCCTTGTTGTGCTTCTTGCCCTTCTAGCACTGCAGTAGCAAGATATCACAGCACAAGGAAGCAGCAGTATCTAGTGTATGGCAGTAGTGGGGGTGTTTTCTCCACCCAGCACCTTCCAAAGCCAGGCCAGAGTGTTTAGCAG